AATATTCCTGCAAGAACTTCAAATGCCCGCAAGGATTGAAAGTGAGGGAAAACTTGCAAACATAAAAAATTTCCCCAGTTTGAACTTCCGGATTCGGGGATCGTGTTCCAGAGTACAAGGACGGGTTTAGCTTCTGGATTGGAGGACGATTGAAATGGGTGGATTATTGGGTCATTACCCATCCGAGTGAAGCCGAGAGGTCCATTGTTGGAAAATTCCTATACGAGGAGACAAGTAGCATACAGACAACCTGTGGCTGACCTATGATGCCATCAGACTGGGAAAAAAGTTATTGAACCACAAAATTGATAATTAAAATTCTTGTTATTATTTTATTTTTTGAGTGGGGACTAAATTATATGTAATAAATAAAATTTTTTCTATGAGAAGACAAGCCATTAAATGCACAAAAGGAGGTTAAATAATTTAACATGATTACTTTTTTCTTAAATCCTTAAAAAATAAATGTATCATTTGATGGGGGTATTTGGTTAACTTAGATTTGAGAATCCCATTTTGAGTGTTTGAATAGAAAATTTAAAAAATTAGATTTGAATTCTAGGAAATTTGATGAGATTTCACTTAATATGTTGAAATCTCTAGAAATTCTATCAAAATTTGTAAGATTTCGTATGATTTGGATTTGAAAAAATTTAAAGTTATTTTTTTAACCCAACCTTTTTCAATTAGAATTCTTTCTCAGCTCAATTTTAAAGAATACGTTAAATATTTAAAATGTATAATCTTTTTTTACTCTCTTATGTAATTAAATAATAAAATTTATTGACTTCTTTTAACTTATATTTTTTAAACATAGTTTTTGAAATTAATTTTATTAAATGAGTCATTTATAATAAATTCAAGACCTCGTGTTATGTATAGTTTTATGTGTGCGGGTGTGTATAAATAAAGCAAATCCACGATAATGTCATGGGTAGCAATTGATTGAAATGAATTTTTGAAATAGAGGATTACCATAGAATGTTTAATTTGATTAAAAAAAGTCAACCAAATTCTTTTATCAAGAAATTAGAATTTGTTTTTTTGGAAGTTTGGCTCCCATTTCAAGAATTTTTATAATAATTTTAAATTTAAAGTTTTGAAAAAATTAATTTTTATTAAAATTAAAATTTAAAATAGATGGTCTATTTATACCAACATAAAAATTTTAAATTAAATAAATTTTAATACCAAATACCTCATAGTAAGTCTGTCCTAATAATTTGTTTCTCCGTTTATTATATTTGTTAAAGAATGGTAGTTAAATTTTTGCAAAGCATTTTAAATTCTATAATTTTACAACTATTGTAAATTTTATTATTCTTATTAAGGAAATAATTTTCTTTGTTAGAAAATAATAAGATCAATTTACTTGTTATAAAATAATATAACTAATTTTTCTACAATCTATTAAGAAAGAAGGTATAGTAGCAAAAATCTTGTTTCTAATTTTAAATTACATTTCTTTCTAAACATTAAATGTATTTTGTAGATACCGAATTTTATTTTTTGCAAATAATAAAATAAAATTTGGATTTGAAATTCATAGAAATTCAAATCTAAATTTCATTTCATTTTTTTTCCTGCTGAACATGGAAATAAAAGACGTGTTATTTTTATTTGATTATCCATAAATCACAACCATTAGCATTTTATGCAAAGCCCTTTCTCTCTCTCAGTTTTTTTTTTTTTTTTTTTTTTTTTTTAAGTGGGCGGCGGGAGGGGGAAGGGGTTGTAAGATTGCAATTGGCATTCTTTGATTTACGTTATGTTTGGAACTTAGAGGAAATTTTGAACATAAAAGGGAAAATAAAAAATAATTATAAAATTTTTACAAGTCCTCTTTACAATATTTGAATTTTTTTTATATTTATAATATTTATTTTCAAAATAAATCCGTTTACTTTTCCTCTCATTTCCCTAATGCATCAAAGCCCAATTAGTGATTTAATTCCTCAATTTATTTAAAATTTGTTTGATTTTCCTTTGAGGTTTTCTTTTATTCCAAGTTCTGAGAGATCTACGAACTAGAATATTAGATAAGCAGAGCAACAAACAATGGGTTATCTTTAAATTTGAGAAAGATTTAGATGTATCTAGGGACAAAATCGCGAACTATAATTTAAAGGACCTAATCCTTTGAAATTGGCACGGAAACAGAGGTAACTATTAATCATAAATTCCTAATTGTTCATTTATTGAAGAATGGCCTACGCCATCCCATTCGATTCACACTCATAAAACATTTGTTTATTATTTTTTAGCATAAAAAAATGATATATCAATTAATTTATAAGGGTTTGTTGGAGAGTAGGTTTATGAAAATTGTATTCGGGAAAAGTCGTTTTGGAAAAAGTGAGTTTGAAGAAAAAAGAATTGATGTAGATAAATTATATTTGGGAAGTTTAAATTTTATTTCATTAGTGAAAATGAGAAAAAATAATAAATATTTAATTTATTCAAAAAAAATCAATTCCTGAACATAGTTTGAATACATTGTATTTACATTTAACAAAAAAAAAAAAAAAAAACGACAAGACGGATTTACATGAACTCTGATTGCGGAAGCTATCTAAATAATATTGAATAAAGCGGATAATGTGATAAGGCCGGATAACTGACGTAATGATTAAATTTGATTTCCAAATTAAATATATATAAGGTGAGTTTTTGTATCTCTACTTGATCCAAATTTTTTTTTTTTTTTAAATCTCAGCTCTATTTGATTTTTACAAGAGGTGCGTGTGATTCTTCAAGAGACTCAATTCTCTTTAATTTTTTATAATTCACATGACTTAAAAGATTGCACCAGCGAATTCGGATTCGTCTTCACAAACTTCATTAATCAGAAACCTTATGAGGTACATCTTCTTGCCATATCTATTTTAGTTAAATGCATAATATGCATAAGTTGTGTTTTTTTATGCCATGATAATAAAAAATTAAGAACCAAAATAAAGAATAGTATTTTGAAGCTGGTCCAGAAGACTAACACTGGCCGCATGTAGCAGATAACTGGCCTTATAATTTTAAGGACCTGAACCCCTGAATTTAGTACGGAAACAGAAGTAAATATTAATTTTACATTCTTCATTGGCCTACGCTATTTCATATAATTCAGAGTCTTAAAATTAACTTAATAACATTTGTTTATCATTTTTCGGCATTAGAAAAAAGGAATTTCCAATTAATTTATAAGGGTTTGTTCGAGAATAGGTTTATGAAAATTGTGTGAAAAAAGTTTAAAAAAGTGAATTTCAAGAAAACGTGTTTGAAAAAAAAAAAGAGATTTAGATAAAATATGTTTGGGATGGATGAGTTTAAATTTTATTTTTATTAGTGAAAATGAGAAAAAATAAAAATATTTATTTTATTAAAAAAATTATTCTTGAAGATAATTTGAATATGATATATTTACATTAAATTAAAAAAAGAAAATTGGCCGCAAGAGGGATCCACATAGGCCCTTAGCGGAAGTTATCTAAATAATACTCCAACTGGGATAATGGTTATCCTTTCAAGTGCTAGCTATTCAGAAGTATTGTTGAATTATTTGGGTAGTGGAGGAAAAAAATTAGATTTGATTTTCGAAATCAAGTACAAGCTGCGAGTTTTTATCTCTATTTAATCAAGAACTTCTTCTCTTTTCAAGTCTTCGGTCTTCTTTGTTTTTCCAAGAGGTGTGAGTCATTCGCCAACTGTTCTGATCAAATTAGCTTTGATAGAAAAATCGCTTCTTAAGTTGAGAAAATAGTATTTTTTTTTTTTAGTTACTACCGCCATTAAAATTTATTTGTCATGAATATTAGAGGGAGAATGTCTGGTTTCTCTTGAATTATTTTAAGTGCATGTGACTAAGAGGTTGCGACTGCGAATTCGGATTCGTCTTTCCGTCTTCATCAACAGGAAGCATTGAAAGGTACATGTTTTTTTAATATCTATTTTGGTTAATGCATAACAAGTCTAGGATGCATGACATGAGAAGTTATATGGCACAATACGATTTTGTAAACAATTTTAAAATTTCACGGCACAAACAATTTTAGGGATGCAAATCCAACACTAACGTGTTATGTACAAGTTACAAATAACATAAATTTTGAGATTAAAAAAATTAAATGAGAAGTAAATGATGGAAGTCTTACCAATTTACTTTGAGTTAAAGTGTGATTAACATAAAAATATATATTTAATTATTTCTTCTGCACCAATTGCACTTAAATCATCTTTTTAACGGAGAGTGAATGAATGAGAAATGTAATAACAGGGTTATGCATGGTAAAAATCGTCGGGTCGTCAGCAACCCGAGTGAAGCCGAGAGGTTCATCGTAAGAAAATTCCTTTGCAGAGACCACCAGGGTGCCGTGAAGCCTTGGTCTGTAGTGTGCCACATGACAAGCTGTGGATGTCCGATGATGCCATCAGACTTGAAAAAAATTATTGAACACAAAAATTGATAATTATAATTCTTGTTATTGTTTTATATTTTTAAATAAATTTGTTATTGTTATTTTAAATTTTTTTTTTCTATGAGCATACAAGACATTAAATTCTCACAAAATGAAGGCATCATAACTTGAAAAAGACGTATTATTTTTATTTGAGTATCCATAAATCACAACCATTAGCATTCTATGCAAATTCCTTTATCTCTTCTCGTCCTTTTTTTTTTTTTTTTTTTTGGAATTTGTAACTCTTACACAACTTAGAGATTGCAGTTGCGAATTCGGAATGATGCTCACAACGTCATCAACCAAAAGCGCTAAAAGGTGCATCTTCTTTGAATATACATTTTGGTTAATGCATAATAGGCACAGTATACTCAAAAAGATATGTACAATTTCTAACAATAAAAGCTTCAAAAGGGCCAGGAAGCTTATCTTTGTCGCGCTACTCTTCACAATATTCACCGCTTTGGTGGTAGAAAGTCTAGAAGATGCCTCATTCCTCGACAAACAAGGCAATGAAAGGTTAGTGGTAAGAAGGGTGTTTTTGAATAGACACCATCATCACCACAAACGCCAGCACAAGACTCAAAAAAAGGGCAGGGGCAGTGGCGGGGACAGAGCATTGTTGTGGCCCAAGATGGGACGGGGAATTACTACACTGTCAAGGAGGCTCTAAATGCTTCGGAGTGGAGGGTGGATGCTAATGAAAGGTTTGTTATTCACGTCAAGAAAGGGGTTTACTATGAGTCCCTCGTTGTTAATGAGAGAATGAAGAACGTGGAGCTCAGGGGCGACGGTATGGGGATCACTATCATCTCCAGCCACCGTAGTGTCGGCAACCACGATGGAAACTTGATCCAAGTTGGTACAATTGGTATATCCCCACATTCTTTTCAAGATCACATGTTTCTTTTTTCCTTGCTATGTTATATGTTGAATTTGAACAATAAATTCTGTCTCTTTTGGTATTAATTGTTTGGTTTAACTCAATATATAAAGTACAACAGAGCTCCCAACCCAAAAATGTCATGGATGGAGTCACTAAAACGTTTTCTTTTTCTTTTTTCCCCCCTTTTCTTGAAGTCTATCCCTTTTATATGGATCGGTGATGCCTGTTAGTGTCATATTTTGAGAACTTTGGTGTAGGCCAGCGGTTAATTTTTTATTTTATATTTTTAAAAAAATATCAAATTTTTCAAAAATTTGGCTATTTGATTGGACAAACCACATTTATTTGATAGTAAAATATATTTTTTAAAGTTACAATTAAGTTACCTCGTATAATAAAGTTATCAAAACTAGATTAACCTTCTTCATATTGAACTTGGCAGTGATATCTGGCGACGGATTCGTGGCTCGAGACATCACATTCGAGAACACCGCTGGGGTCAATAGTGGACAGGCCCCTGCTGCCATTGTAAATGCCAACCATGCAGCCTTCTATCGTTGTGGCTTCAAGGGGTACCAAGACACCCTTTACGCCCAACTCGGTCTACAGTTCTACAAAGAATGTCACATCTATGGCACCGTCGACTTTATTTGCGGTGACGCCACTGCTGTCTTCCAAAATTCCAGAATATATGCGCGTAAACGCTCATTAATTGCCAATGAGATCGTGATTGCCGCATCCCAGCGAAACAACGAGACATCCATGACTGGGTTTGTTTTCCAACGTTGCCAACTTGTTCCGGACGCTGACCTAGAACCTGTCATCAACTCTTATTTGATTTACTTAGGGAGGCCATGGGGACATTTTTCCCGAACGGTGTATATGCAGAATGAATTTGATATTCCGGTGGCGGCTGATGGGTGGTTGGAGTGGGAGGATAGGCCAGGCGACACGCATTACGTCGAGTATAGGGAGTATGATAACAGGGGAATTGGTGCTTCGACAGATCAGAGGGTGACATGGAATGGTTATCAGGTCATATTCGACCCAATTGAGGCGGAGAAGTACACCGTGGCAAGGTTCCTATATGCTGACACGTGGCTACCAGCCCTTGGCGTGCCTTATACTCCTGGTCTCTAGGCTATATTTTCCAGTAGTAGCCTCTCTTAACCAGTTCTTTATCTGGTTTAATTTTGCTTTCAGTGAATGAACTCTATAAACTTCTGTGTATGTATTTAGATTTGTGTGTGTGTGTGTGTGGGGGTGGGGGGGGGGGGGCGTCTCTTTTTCTTTACTTAAATTGCTTAAAATAGCCATTACTTTTATTTGCTTGTGTGTGTGTGTGTGTGTGTTTAGTTATAAAATTCTCTATCTTTGTTACATTTCCCTCAAATTATTATCGGAATTTCTTAATTATTATCTTATATATATATATATATATATAAGAATTTTAAATGCTGGGATGAATGTGAATAAGGAAGAAAGCCTGATAGCATTATAGAGCTTAGAGTTGAGGCTTACGAGGGATATAATGTTGGTTTTACCAGGTTAATACGCAATCGAAAGCACAAGTTCATTGAGCTAAATAGATATTAAGGAAGAAAAAGAAAAAAAAAGATGCCAAGCAATTCTATTGGTTGGGCTCTAGTCTTGGGCAGTCATAGACCAACAAGTCTTATATAGACTTCTGTTGGGCCTTCCCATGAAGTGGGCAAGACAAACATCAGCCTAGTTCAATGTGGCCGTAATTTAGTTGCTGTCAGACTAGGGGACCCGTTCGGTTTCCATGAGAAGAGAAAGTGGGATAGATTAAGTTAGGATAAAATAATCCTACCTATACAGTAATTTGAATTTTTATCCCATTTTGGTATAATTTATCTTCAACTCGGATAGAAAACTAGATAAAAAATCAAATTACCAAATTACCCTTGTACATGCCGCGCGGTTGTAGTCAGGAAGGGCAATCGAGAAGGGCAATTGGGAGACACAATCGGGAGAGACAATTAGGAAGGGCGAACTTGTGAAGGGGGAACTTAGGAGACACAATTGGAGGGTGACCAAGAGACGATCGAGATAGACGATTGAGAAGGGCAAACTCGAGAAGGGGGAGACGTGATCGGAGGGTGATCAGGAAAGGCGACCAGGAAACACGATCGAGAGAGATGATTGGGAAGGGTGAACTCGGGAGACACGATTAGGCGAGGCGATCAAGAGGATTCGGGTAGCGATCGAGAAGGGGGTTTTTGCATATCTACGACTGGCAAAAAGGAGCTTGGGTCTAAGAAGGGGGAACTCAGGAATGGCGACCGGGAAGGGGGTTCTCGCAAATTTGTGATCGGCGAAGGGGAGCTCAGGTCTAAGAAAGGGGAGCTTGAGTCATTATAACGGGGGCAATGTTGTCATAAAAAAATTGGAGAATACTGTTCAAGTGAGAGAAATTTTATCTCACCTATTTAATGGGATAAACTTATCCCACTTGAGATGGATAAGGGGTGATAAAATCTACTACCCGAATGTTTTATCTCACTTTTTGCTCCCAACAAACTCTTTCGAAATTTACTTTGCTTGGTGGGTTTTTTTATGTTTCATCTTGTGTTGATATTTTAGCCTTTGACTATTGGTTCTCTCGTATTGTAGCACTTCATATGAATTCTTTTTACCTCAAATTCTTGAGTAAAAGATAAGAGAGAGAGCCTTAGTTAAGTAAAGAATAAAGGAACAATCTTGCTTGTTTTCATTTTGACAATTTTGGTCCATTCACTTGAGTTAGCAAGGTCAACTTGGGTTTCTTGATTGCCCAGATTTTCAAATATCTTTACCACCCTTGGGGTTTCCTTCTCTTGGTGGCTTCAACTCCTAGTTCTTCACAAGCGTACTCCCACAATTTTTGGTTGTTTCTCAAGTAACAGTTTTTTCCCTTACATGGTAAGTTTGATGTTTATTTGGAGTATTTGGGTTTTGATTTCTTCTTTTTTCTTTTTGAGAATATGGACAATATCTTATTAATGGTGACCAAGTTTTTAAGTTTTTATGTTTCTTTTTTTTTTTTTAATGTGATTGTTGTTTTCTTCTAATGTGTATGTTAGTCTTCTTAGCTTCTGTTGGGTGAGATAGCTAGCAATTAAGTTTCGTTTCTTGTCTCCAGTTTGGGTAATCTTTATGAATGTAACAAAAGCATTAGGAAATTTAGTACACTAATCCTACTTTGAGGATTGACAATTATTCTTTGGCAACCACATGTTCGTATTTTGTTCCTTAATCTTTTATGGTTGCCATAAAGGCTCTTTTCACATACTCTGTTAGCTTGGTGGTTCTTAGACAAGTTATATTTTCATTTCAGTTGCTTATGATTACGTATAGAAATAGGATTAAATTTTATCTTGAAATCCCTGCTTGTATTTATCAAATGATCTAGGATTCTTGTTGATGAGTTTGAAATATTTTTTTCCCTTGAAAGGGAGGTTGTGGGCTTTTATTGGCTTTCAGGAATCATTTTCCAGAAGTTGGTTACTGTTCGAAGTTGAGAACATGGGTAGTTCTCTGTCTTTGATCTACTTTTTTTTAGTGGTTACATTTTATGTTTAAATAGAAAACTCCTAGAATTTGGGGTTCATTTGTAAGTTACCTGTGATGGTGCTTAAGGTTGTTTTGAATATGTGATTTGAAGAGAAAATAACATAAAGTAGGGAAAAGAATAGAAGCCAAACACTGTCACCCAAATATGTTGGATTGCATTTAGAGAGAATGGAGAACGGGGTGAAGATGGACTCTGTTACACCTCCTTCTTAGATCAATGGACTCGGATACCCAAGTCATGCCTAGTTTTAGAAACTGATCTACTTCATCTCACAAATTCATTTAGTTTCTTTTCTCATTTTCCATTTTATTTATGAGCCCAATTGATGGTTTGGGTCTTTTCAGCTAACGAAAAGATTAAATTTTCTCCTTTCAGGTACTCTTCTGCAGAGAAAAAAAGAAACATAGAAATCCTAAAAACTAGTTGATATGGAGTTTTGAAAATAGAATAGCAGATTATATTCATGTGTATGTAGTTACAGTTATAGTGACAAAAATCCCAATTGATCTACAACCTCAAGTTACTTGTTTATATTTGAGACAGCTAGTTGACATGCTTCTCAAAGAAAACCAGTATCTCATTATTCTAATTTTGCCTTAAATTTCCTTCGATGCGCAAAAGATCTTTTGATATAGTGAAATGGCAGAATGGTATCCATGTAGTTAGTTATCATTGGAAAACATATTAGCTAACCAGTTAACCTTGCATATATACTTGTTAAAAACATATCCATGTAGTCAGTACTAAAGTGGAATTTAATTTTTATTGACTGGCTGGGTTTGGCATTCGATATATATGTATATTTATTTTTTTCTCATGCTGTCATACACTTGCATATACCTGCTGAATGCCATCGAGACTTGCATGTACTTATTTGTTTGTATAGTTGTGCATTTTCTAAGTTGTTTTTTTTTGTCCTATTTAGGTTAATTGAAAATGGGTATTTAGGTCTAAAAAATGGGATATTGGACCAGTCAGCTGTCCTGCTTTCACACCATGGCTATTTGACTTGCATGAATTGCAAGGTAATATGGAAATTTTTAATTTACAAGGAGAATTATTTTCCTTTAATCCTTGCATCTTTCATGTTCATATAGCTTGAATTCATAAACAACTTTATGTCAAATGACATCCTTTTCATCTTTAATTTTGCTATTTTGGTTGGCCTTGTACAACTTTCACATTCAAGTACAATGGCATGTGCATTTTTTGGTGATTATATTGATGGAGGTGATGAGCTTAGAAATAAAATGATGGCTTGTGCATCTGTTCTAATATATGTATGTGTCTAAATGTCTTACAAATTTGAAAATAGAAGAAATATTTTGCTGCCTATTAGCATGGGAAAGCAAAGCCGTGGTACCAAATGCTCCTTAGCGAGAACTTAGGAGCGTCAAATATAGCTTTGTGTAAAATTGTCTTCATAAATTTCTACTGAGATGCACCATTCCTTCATCAGCTTTTCACATTTTGTGAATAGCAACGAAATTGAGGATATTGTGATATTCATGTTGAGATAATTTATTAAATACATGTACAATTTATTGTTAGTTAGAAGATGATTCCTGGTAACACCAATTGTTTGAAGTTTTCATATTGAGTTTTTACATCAAATGACATAAAAAGAACATGTATAATAGAATAGTTAGTGAGAGTGAATATGACCTCTATATATATTTATAATTAGTTTTAAAAATATTTTAATATTGAGTACCCTCAAAAACCAACTTGAAGTAAAATATAACTTCTCTTTAGTTCTTTTCTATTTTTCCTATAGAACTTATGATATTCAAGTTAACAATAACATCACATATTGTTGAAATCTATTGCTTACTTCTAAGCCAAAAACTTGAGCTACTAATTAGGCACAACACTTATTAGTTAACTTGGCCAGCCTAGGCAGAGTTTGATTTGATTGGGTTGAACACCTACCAACACACCTCTCCTCCTAGACTAAGGGATCAAACCTGCAACTTGCTGGCTCTAATACCATGTTTAAAATCTATCATTACCACTAGACAAAAAGCTTAAGCTATTAATTAAGGTGCAAAACTAATTTCTTAACATGATCCTCCCAAGCAGAGTTGGTTTGGATCTAGTTGAATAACTACCAACATAATTTTTAGTTGTGGCTCACAAAGGATATGGTGGTTCATTTCTTATGGTTTGGCCTATCCATAATTGCAAAGAAGGTCCACTTTTCTTGTGGTGTTAAATCAATTCGGGATTCAAATTTGGTAAATTTTCACAAAAAAAGAGGTTGACTGTTCATGAAGTTATAAACTATTCCAAGTGTAGAACTAACATTTAATATCTAATACAAATTAGAAATTATCTAAATCCTTCCATGTCACATGTGAAATAAAGGATGGCAATGCACCTAGTCTTTCAAAGGACTCTCCACTTTAATAAATAAGACACTAATTATTTCAAACTTCAAAATTATAGTTGTTAAAAATTTGGTCTGTTTGTGAAAAATAAATGGCCATGTCACAAATAGGAAAACCAAAATTTGAAATGGATGAGAATTAATATTTGTTCATTAAACAAAACAGAAAAGGGT